CTAGAACTGAACCCCAGTCCTCTGGAAGAGCAGTAAGTACACGCGGAGCCATCTCACCTTGCTTTTTTTAAGACAGGGTCTCTCACTGAACCTGGAGTTCACAGATTCCTCAAGGTCGGTTGACCAGTGAGTCCTACCTTCCAGCACTGGGGAAACAAGCATTGTTGCCACACCTGGTTTTACACAGGGGCTGGGGATCTGAACTTAGGTCTTTAGGATTGCATGGTAAGCAATTTACCAACGAGTTGTCTTTGGAAGAGCAGTCGGTGTTCTTCACCGCTGAGCAATCTCCAGACCTTAGGGGACATAAGGAAGAGAACTTTCTGTCATTTATACTACTGCAACTATCTCTGTATGATACACTCCTCCAACACACACACACACACACACACACACACACACACACACACACTTAAGCCTGAGCATTGGATGTTTGTTAGGAATTTTACTCAGAAGGAGAAATTGGGCCTGGCCTGATGGCTCAGCAGGTGACTGCAGTAGCCAAGCAAGCCCCATTGACTTGAGTTTCACACCCAGAACACTCGTGGAGGGAAGATGGCACCGACTCCTGTAAATTGTCCTCTCTCTCTCTCTCTCTCTGCCTGTCTCTCTCTCTTTCACATATACACATACACACAATAAATAAATAAATAAATAAATAAATAAATAAATAAATAAATAAATAAATAAAAATTTCTATTTATAAAAAGGAAAAAGCACTCAGGAGGTCTGGTCTGAAGAGCTAGTTCCAGGACAGCCAGGGCTACACAGAGAAACCCTGTCTCAAAAACAAAAGCAAACAAACAAAAGCGTAGAAATTAACTTCCAAGTTACTCATATTGGAAGTGACCCAAGTTAAAAGGAATTAGATGGGGGCTGGAGAGATAGCTCAGCAGTTGAGAGCTCTGACTGCCTTTCAGAGGACCCGGGTTAAACTCCCAGCACCCAGATGGCAGCTCACAACTGTCTGTAACTCCAGTTTTAGGCGACCCAACAGCCTCACTCAGACATACATGCAGACAAAGCACCATTGCACATAAAATAAGAATAGTTTTTTTAAAAAAGAAATTTATACTAATTTTGTTATTTTTATTATTAGCGAGAATAAAAATTATTTTGTTTCTAAATTTGTTCCCTCTTATATGAATCATCTGAAATCTTTCAATGGTCAAAATTTAATAAATAATTTTCCAAATTAATTTAAATATCAATGTGTCTGTTCAGGGGGATTTAAAATTTAGAAAAGTATTCCTATATTTGTGTCTATAGATGTGTTTGTGTGTATACACATGAATGGCGTCCTGGCTAGTTTTATGTCAACTCGACACAAGCTAGACTCATCTGAAAGGAGAAAACCTCAACTGAGAAAATGCCCCCGTAAGTGTTAGGTATATTTCTTAAGAGGAGATCCTCCGCAGATGCAAATAATTCCAATCAGACTAAATTAGCCGAATAAAAGATGTCCACGTTTAATGCAGAGCTCCGGGTGGCTGGAAAAGCATGGCAAGGGGAAGAGAGCAGGGAAGACCGCACAAAACCCGGAGACCACGTGTGCCTTTTTTGGGCAGCAGCCTAAATCGCCCGTGGGAGTGGTCCTGATCCACCCTGGCGAGCTTTCCCAGAGGTGGAGTCTAGGTCAAGGCGACTCCCAGGGGAGGGGGCTTGAAATGGAGCTTCCGGCTCCAAGGATGGGTGCCAGGGGCTGGGGTGACCCTTTCACCCAAACAATAAGACCCAGATGTAGGGCATTTTCTTAATGAGTGTTTAATGCAGGAAGGCCAAGCCCCTTGTAGGTGATGCCATCCCTGGGCTGGTGATCCTGGGTTCTATAAGAAAGCAGACTGAGCAAGCCATGAGGAACAAGCCAGTGAGCAGCACCCCCATGGCCTCTGCATCAGCTCCTGCCTCCAGGTTCCTGCCCTGTTTGAATCCCTATCCTGACGTCCTTCAGTGTTGAACAGTGATATGGAAGTGTAAGCCAAATAAACCTGTTCCTCTCCAACTTGGTCATGGTGTTTCATTGCAGCAATAGAAACCCTAACCATGACACAAGGATTTTATTTTCAAGACAGGGTTTCTCTGTGTAACAGCCCTCGCTGTCCCAGAACTATTTCTGTAGACTAGGCTGGACTCGAACTCACAGACATCAACCTGTCTCTGTCTCCCGAGTGTTGGGATTCAAGGTGCGAGCCACCACCACCACCCAGTTTGACACATGGATTTTTTAAAATTAGAAATAATGGATTAAGAAGAATTTTTTAATAATTTAAGAACGGCACTGAAAAGACGGCTCGGTGGTTAAGAGCACGTGCTGCTCTTGTTTAGGGCCCAAGTTCAATTCCCAGCACCTATGTGGCAGCTCACAACCACCTGTAACTCCAGGTTCAGGGGCTCTAACACCCTCTTCTGGAATGCACTGGGCACAAACATGGTGCATAGACAAATACGTAAGTAAAATATTCTCACAAAATAAAATGAAAAAAATGTAAAAGAGATTTTAAATTTCTTTTGTTTGTGTTTGGGATGTGTGTGCATTTGTATGTGAGTGTGTGTGCAATGCAGGCCAGAGATTCAGGGACTGGTGTCAGGAGTCTTTAAGGCTAGAAACCTTTTTTTTTTTTTTTAAAGAATGTGGAAAAAAAGAATTGAGAAACGAGAGTATATTTGTTCCGCACTAATTAATCTACCAGAATTAGCATGTGAAGGATGTCCACCTGATTTTTTTTTATAGAAGAAACATTCTCTTATTGAATTAACTAACTAGTTAATTCTTCCATTAACTAGTTTGGATGATCTGTTAGCCCCCAAGATCTCCCTGTCTCTGCTTCCCAGTACTGGGATTAAAGGTGTATGTCACCAGTTTTTTCTTTCTTCCTTCCTTCCTTCCTTTCCTTCCTTCTTTCTCTTTCTTTCTTTCTTTCCTTTTTTCTTTCTTTCTTTCCTTTTTTTTTTTTTTTTGAGATGGGCTCCCTCTCTACAGGGCCCTGGCTATCCTGGAATTCACTTACCTTGTAGACCAGGGTAGCCTCAAACTCATAGAGATCTTCCTGCCTCTGCCTCTGCCTCCTGAGTGCTGGGATTAAAGGCGTGGGCCAGCGCCGTTGCTATGCCCGGATTTTTCTGAGTGCTACAAGGTTCAGCTCAGGTGTCCATGCTTGTACAGCAGGTACTTTATCCCCTGAGCCATCTCCCCAGTCTTTTTTTTTCTCCAAGGTCTGGACCGTCAGGCTAGCCTTGCACTCCTTACGTAATTATGTAATTAAGTACAATCTTGAATTCCTGATTCTCCTGCCTCTACCTCCTGAGTACTGGAATTACAGATGTGTGCCATTATGCCAAGCTTAGAGGGGAAATTTTAAACGTTAAGTGCTTCAAGCTAACTTAAATAAGAATATTAATAACTCACAAAACAAACTTAAGTAGGGTTATTTTTGACCTCAAAGACCCCGGACTAAAATATTCTCAGAAGTCTCTGAGCCTGTGTTCTCTGCATCCCTTTTACTTCCTCGGGCTGAGTCTCCCATCTTCACCTCCGGAGGGAAGAGGTCTGTCTCCTTGGTTCCAGCTGACAGGCCCCAGGGAAAGGCTCCATAGACGCAGCTTGAGTCACCCACTAGACAAGCCAGCACAAGGCTAACAACTGACTCTGTCTAAGTGCCACCTTTACAGGAAACCCTGTGGAGTAGGGGTTTGAGGTAAGAAAACCACAGCTCTCGTTTGAATAGCAAGATTGCTGGTTTGTAAAGAAATGCCGGCGCTATTTCCCATAGAAAGATCCGATGCTGGTACACAAAGGAGAACTCTTTCCACATAAAAATAGGATCATATTTCACATAATTGTCTTGCTGTAGGCTCTTTTGACCTTCCTTTTGTCTGTTTTCTATAATATGATTTCAGTGTTCATGGTACCGAATGATAGAATAACATTGTGTTCTGCAGCCTGGTCATGAGGATAACTCGATGTGACCATGAAGCCAAGAGGTCTGGCAATCTCTCCTTTCTAGATTTTCCTTAGTTCCAATTGTTCGACTGGAATCTCCAGCTTACTCCTGCTTCATCTGGAGGCCTCCATTTCTTCCTCCAAACCCTATCCTCTCAGAGAATCTCCAACAGGGAAGAGCCTCCAAAAAGTCCAGTTCTGCATTCTTGGCAACCGCATTCTTGGCTCCTCCCCTGAAGCTGCCAGCGCCCAATCCTCAACTAAAGCATCATAATTGGGCACAAACCTAGCTTATGGAGGACACCGTCGTCACTCCTCGCCTACAGGGTATTTAAACTCCCTCCTTTAATTCCGCCCTGTGACTTTTCTCCTGCCCCTTCCCCCGTCTCAATCTTTGGGGACTGGAGTACTCTCATCCCGGAGTGGCTTTGCCCAAAATATATCTGGTCTTTTACTTTTTTTAATTCGGCTTGATCTGCCTTACTGCATCAGCAGAGAGACCTTCTATCAGGCTACAGAAAACCTATTACCAGGGAGATTTCCATTTTGCTTCTTTGCTTTGTTTTGAGTGTCAGAGTGCTGGGGTTGGAAGCTCCTGTCGTCACACCCAAATCCATCTTCCTCACCTTCATCACAAATATATTTGGCAGCTGGAACCAAACATTTATTAACTGATAGAGTAGACAGAGTCCCAGCCACAACTGCTGTGTGATCTTGCAGACATCTTACTTAAAGGAATGATGAATTTGCTATCAAAGATGCCGTCTGTGTTAGGTTTGGTGGTGCACTCCTTTGAGTCCAGCACTAGGGAGGCAGCGGCAGGCAGATCTCTGAGTTTGAGACCAGCCTGGTCTACATAGAGTTCCTGGACAGCCAAGGATACATAGAGAAACCCTGTCTCAACCTCACCCCACCCTGCAAAGAAAAAAAAAAAAAAAGAAAAACACAAAGATGTCTTCCATGTAAATCCCTTGACTAATAATTCCAATGTTTTACAGACCTTTCCGGAACTTATTTTTCTTTTGTTTTGATTGTGTTTTTTGTTTTTCTTTCCTAACAGTGGCTGTTGCGGGATGTTTGAGTTGACTTGGAAGCCAGCTGGGTTGCAGACAGTTAGCAGCGGCTATGAGACACAGAAATGGACTGAGGAATCCCATAAAAGCTTTCAATGCTGATCTGGCTATTCCGCGACTGGGAGCATTGACATGTCAAAGCACTGAGGCCTCAGAGTGAGCGCCAGGCTGTTCCACAGTTGCTGTGTGAGGCCAGAAGGCTCGCATCTGTAGACCCCATTCTAAAAGCAGCATTTGAAACTGTCTCTCAGGTGGTGAGTCCCTCAGGCAGTAGCTGGGAAATCATACTTATCACCGCTTGACTCCCTTCCCCAGACCCTTTTTTGGGAAAATAAAAGTCTCACTGTTATCCCTAGCTGGCCTGGAACTCTCAAGTAGGCTAGTCTGTCCTAGAATTCACAGAAATCTGCCCACCTCTGCCTCTCAAGTGTTAGAATCAAAGGCATGAAGGCATATGCCAGCATGGCTCTCTCAGGCTCTATCTCTCTCTCTCCCTCCTCTCTTCTTCCCTCTCTCTCCCTATACCCCTAGCTCTCTTTATGAGACAGAGTATCATATGTTACTATTTTGCTGACCTTCCTTGTCACCTGGGTACCCTGCCCCTCCAAGAGACAAGCTCCACCCACTCCCAACCCCTCCTTCTGACAAGGCTTGTGGATCTCTCCCCCCTCCTTTCGTGTGTGTGTGTGTGTGTGTGTGTGTGTGTGTGTGTGTGTGTGCGCGCGCGCGCGCACTCTCTCTCTCTCTCTGTCCCCCTCCCCCTCCCTCTCTCTTTTCCTGTCCCTTTTCTGAAGAGGTAACTACTCCCCCTCTCCCTTCTTCCCCTCCTTCTCCCCTTTCCCCCTTCCCCCTTCCTTTTCCCTTCCATAACTCACTAAATAAACCCTATATCCAAACTCTCTCTCTTCATGGCATATCTGTCTGTGTCTTACCTGCACGGTCTCCCACCTGCCAAGGGGACCCACCTATGTCTCTGGGGACCCACCAAAGTGTCAGCTGACCCAACGAGGCCTCAGGTGGCCTGCCACTGCCCCTCGTGGGACTGCTGCCCCTCATGGGCCCGGTACCCCACCACCATGTGTTTCTAAACTGTAACATTGGTGTATGACTTGGCCAGGCTCTCTCCACACGTGGGCAGGCTGGCTGAGGACACATGGGACCTTAGACTCTGACCACTTGCCAACATCCTCTGCCTGCTCCATCACTACAAATGGTGTAAGACTTTAAGACAATTCTGAAGCCATTTCTGACAATTTCAAACCCTCTCAGCCTCCGTGCCTTAGTGCTTCCCCTCCTCCCCTGGGAACCAAGGACCTAACAGCTACACATGCACATACTCAGCACCTGAACAGTTACCCATACACATATGTTTTGATTCAGTCCCCTGGGAAACAGGGTCAAAATGACCTCTTACCTCATCTGATCTGACAATAGTTCTCCAGTCAATAATTGGTATTAGCCCTTTTCGAATAAGTCAACCATAATGGTCAAGGAACAACCCCTCTTGTTTCTATGGGGCCTTCTCCTTTAAAAGTAGACTGTGCCAGCTATTCGAGGTCTCTCGGCTTCCCGAATGCTGGGGACCCTGTCATGACAGAATTAATAAAATCCTCCTGCTTTTGCATCGACTGTGGTATATGAGGTGGTCTCTGGAGGCGACTCCTTCTCGGGTTGGACACTAGAGTCCAACAATGGTAAAGTTCCCTTCTCCAAGTTAGCTTTTGCTCACATTCACCTCTGGTTGTTCCTCGTAGCTTAAAAACCTAAGTGGACCACTCGGAAATGGTCCTTTAGCCACTGTTAGGATTTTTTTGCTTTGTTTTGTTTTGTTTTTGACCACTCAGAAGTGGTCCTCTTGCTGCCGCCTCCGTTGTTCAGGTCTCTTGGAGTTGTCCTGGCCCCCCCGATTCCTGAGCCGACAGGTCTTGAAATTGGCCGGCCTGATTTTCAACCCTCGTACTATTCCGGAAATGTCTGGTTAGATGCCTTGGGTTTTGGCCTTTGGGAAATAAAACCCTCAAAAACTATCTGTCCAACCTCTGCTCCCCCTATGTCTTTTACAGACTCTAAACCCTCTGCCTTCCTTACAGATTCGTAACCTTACCTGGCTTTACACTAACAAATGGCCGACTTACCCTTAGATAACAACCCCTAAAGTGTGAGCTTTCTGATTTCTACCAGCAACAGAACTGCTGGTGTCCCCCCGGCTCTGCTTTTCCTTTCCCTGGGCAACCCCATCCCCACCTGCCTCTAAACGCTCTTTTTCTCACTCGTATTCCCTTTCTCTCCCCTATTCCTTCTATTCTATCCCTGCCACTGCTGCCGCTGGTCCCACAGAAAACGGCAAGATTGGTCGGATCCACGAGGCAGCTGTTTCCAGTTCCAGCCCTCGCTCCCTGCCGTGGCTGATGGAGAGGCAGCTCTGTGGCATGGTGGCTCACAGTGCTGAGTAATTTTCCTCTCTACTTCATATATTAAAGATTGTGTGAATGATGTGGCCTCACGGATGTAATTCTGTTTTAAATGTATGTTCTACTCGGCCTCTATGTCTCTGTTGTTGTTTATATATGTTTAAAATTTCTGCGGCTCTAAAAATGTGGTTTCTCCATAGACATATGACCACTGCCATTTTGACTAAGGTCAGGTGACCTCACCACCATCTTGACTAAGGGTAGGTCAGGTGACCAAGTCTCACCATCTTTACTGAGGTATTCTTTACCTAATCTTGGTTTACTTCTGTTTTTTGTCTCTAAATTCCTCTTACTGACTCATTACATGTGTGTTTTACACAGTGGTATGCTTTTGGTAAGGCCCACTAAAAGCACCCACTTCACCCAACTCCCATTTAATGTGTATGTGTGCATACTTGTGACTTAAGTTAATTATGTATAAACATAAGTTGGCTTTAACTCTCTGTGTATAAGTGTATAAAACTTGGGTTCAAGTGGGTTTTAATGTACATATATTTACTGTTAAATGTTATAATTGTCTGTTCATTGTATCTCATTCCAGACTAAGAAAGCAATGTCTCATATTTTAAATTGGTACGTACTCTTAAATCTCTTACAAAAGTACTGTATATGTGCTCCAACCCTGCTTTAAAATATATTAGGCTGTTCTCCACTATTGTCAGTCCTGCCTTTAAGCTTCTATTGCAAACAGCCTTTTCTTCTTTGTCCTTCACAAGTATAGCTCTCACCTGTTAAGTTAAAAATCCAGTACAGTCAAGCTTGGACCCAGCTCTCCAGGCAGATCCTATACTGTAGTTATAACTTATCTATACCTATAAACACCCCTCAAATGCTCTGAGATCTGGGGAATATGGCATTTAAATGTTTAGTTATTAGAAGACTTTTCATAACAGTGAGACAGGTTGGCTCCTAGCAGAGCGCTCTATTTCCTCCAAAGAAGACAGAAGACTGGTGGGCACAGAACGACGTCCACCCACAATTTGCTTCATCAGGTGAAAACGCTAACCACTGGGGAAAACTGCCTTTCATCTAAACCAAGATCTCCAGACAGGGGACAGAATTGCTAGAATCAACAGCCTAGCTGCTCAGGTCAAGGTAGGGTTGTCTTCCTACAGATTTTCTAGCACACAGGATCTTCTAGAGTCTGGCAGGCCCTGCTTCTAACAATAAAAGGCAAATATGACCCTCAGTGACCTTGGAGGACCCTGAGGTGAGGCTCTAGGTAGACAATTGAGTAAGTTCTCTGTTTTTTTAAATCAATAACTCAATTAAAATGTTATCCTTCTCAACGATCTCTGGTGCAGTTTGACAGCTGAGAGGTTTTGTCAGTTTAAAAGGACAGCCCCACCAAACAAATTTTGTAATCTTAAGATATACAAGTGCAAGTATTAAAAAGTGTACCTGCAAGTCATAAAGGTATGAGGACAAATACAAGTTATCAAACTTCTCTCTCATGTGGCCTTTCATAGTCATAAAGATATTTTTTATTGTGCAAAAACGTCTGTCACAGTCGTTCTGACATAAATACGCTGCTGTTTATACAATGTACATGTCTAAAACTTATGTTTTCACAAACTCAAAAAATTCTTGTGAGTTCCAGGGAGCCAAATTGAAGGATTCACTTTAAATAGGTCAGATACACCCTCTAAATTCCCTGATCTTAAATTTTTTTTTCCTTCCTACACTTAACTTTGTTCTCTGTCCTACCAACACCTTGCTAGTTCCAAGAGACACCGGACAGTTCCACACCATGAATCAGTTACCAGGATGTGACCAACACCCAGCTATCTTAGGCCCCTCCAAGAAAGACTTCAGCACCCACAAATAAGCAGAAAGCAGTTTTGAGAATCCACTGTCCCAATTTCTTCAACCTGCTATGCCTAACTCCCTGTCTTTTTATTATAAGAAAAAGATGGGGGGCTGGAGAGGTGGCTTAGTGATTAAGAGCATTGCCTGCTCTTCCAAAGGTCCTGAGTTCAATTCCCAGCAACCACATGGTGGCTCACAACCATCTGTAATGAGGTCTGGTGCCCTCTTCTGGCTTGCAGACATTCATGGAGACAGACTATTGTATACATAATAAATAAATGTTTTTAAAAAAAAAAAAAGAAAAAGATGGGAATGTGATCTGCTGGCCTAGTCTGTCACTTGGGTACCCTTCCCTTTAAGAGACAAGCCCCGCCCACTACTAATCCCCCCCATCCCACCTCCTCTCTAGTCATGTGCCCCCATCTGTCTGTCTGCTGTCTGTCTGTCTGTCCTTCTTCTAGAGAGACAGCTCTTCTCTCTCTTTTTTTTCCTGCCTCTCTTTTTCTCCCCCATTCTTCTTCCTTTCCCTCTCAATAACCCACTAAATAAACCCTATACCCAAACTCTCTCTGCATGGTGTATCTGTCTGCCTGTCTCCTGCCAAGGCTTCAGGCCACCCACCAGGGCACCCGCTGAGGCTTCCAGTGACCTGCTGCCCCTCGTGGGACTGGTTCACCACCATATCTTTATAAATGATAACATTAAGCTTTGTTGGTTTTATTTTGTTTTGTTAGCAACCTCATTGTGTCTGAATTCAGAACTTGCAAGAGAGTAGTAACACAAATTTAACAAAATGGAAATTCTTTCCCAGTGACTTTCTGTTCAGGCATTAGTCACCAGCTGTCTCATCCCCGTGATGAGGCAAAATGATCCTAATGGATGCCTGTGGTTTAGACGCTGGAAGGGTCTTGGGAGCTCTTTGTACAGAGATGAATGTGGGGAGCTTGTTTGGTCCTTCCCCATCCTCATTAGCAGCTTCTGCCTCCTCTTTTGTTTGCCTTGTGTGTCTCTCCGCCTACCCTCCCTCCCACCATGTGTGTGTGTGTGTGTGTGTGTGTGTGTGTGTGTGTGTGTTTCTGTGCAAATCTCTAAATCTCTCACTGAACTTGGAGCTTATGAATCAGCCGCACTGCAGGCTCCAAGCCCCAGGGTTTAGTGTCTGACTCCAGTGCTGAGATTACTAGTGTGTGTCTGGCTAAGGACTGAACTCTGCTTTCCCTACTATTGAAGCAATTGCACCCCCACCCACACCCACACACACCTTTTCCCCCCAAGAATGGTCTCAAGAGCCCAGGCTAGCCTTGAACTCAGCTAGGTAGCCAAGAATAGCCTTGAACTCCTGATTCTCTTGCCTTTACCTCCCAGGGGCAGAGGCACAGGTATAGTACTATGTCAGCTACTCCACCTCTTCTGTCTTTACCTTCCCGAGGTCCTGTGCTGGGCCTCGCACACCTGTGGTCCTTGTTCCTTGGTCACACCAAGGCTCTGTGTACTTTGAGGTCTTGGTACGCAGTTGAGAATGTTTCTCCTGTTGGACTCTAGTGTCCAACCTGAGAAGGAGTCACCCCCAGAGACCACCTCATACACCACAGCCGATGCAAAAGCATGAGGATTTTATTAATTCTGTCATGACAGGGTCCCTCAGCATTCAGGAAGCCGAGAGACCCCGAATAACTGGTACAGTCTGCTTTTAAAGGAGAAGGCCCCATAGAAACAAGAGGGGTTGTTCCTTGACCATTATGAATGACTTATTCGAAAAGGGCTAATACCAATAATTGGCTGGAGAGCTATTGTCAGATCAGATGAGGTAAGAGGTCATTTTGACCCCGTTTCCCAGGGGACTGAGTCAAAACATACGTGTATGGGTAATTGTTCAGGAGCTGAGTACGTGCATGTGTAGCTGTTAGGTCCTTGGTTCCCGGGGAGGAGGGAAGCGCTAAGGCACAGAGGCTGAGAGGGTTTGGAATTGTCAGAAATGGCTTCAGAATTGTCTAAAGTCTTATACTCTCCGGATCTTTTCCTAGGCAGGCTTTGCCTGAACTCCCCACTTTACCCAGATATTTCCTGGCCTTCGCTTCTGCATTTGCCCTCCTTCCCCAGGGTCACCATCACAGCTTGCTGCCCACTAGAGTCCTGTATTTATTTCCCAATTTCCCATTTATTCATTTTTGATAGATTCCGTGAAAGGGAAACTCCACTTGTTGTTTTCATTCTGCCATAATGGATGCTAAAGAAATGCTTATTTATCCGGGCTGTGGTGGTGCAAGCCTTTAATCCCAGCACTCGGGAGGCAGAGGCAGGTGGATCTCTGTGAGGTCAAGGCCAGCCTGGTCTACACAGAGAGTTCTGCGGTAGCAGGGCTGTTACACAGAGAAACCCTATCTCCAAAAAACAAACAGACAACAAAGCGTATTGGATGAATGAATGGATAAAGTTACAGAGCTTGCTGTGAGTGAGATGTAGCTAGAAAGGCTGGTGAAGGCCACATTAGGATGGTGTTTAGTTGCTAACCATGGAGCTTGGATGGTCTCCTCTGAAGAATGGGGTGTTGCCCACAGTTACTCAGGATCCAAGAGGCATGGTCGGCACTGAGAAAGGTAGACTTGGCAACTATGTAAGTCGTGTTACATTGAGAAAATTTGGAGGCCTTAAGACAATGCCTGGCAGGAAAGTCTTCAGTGGTCATGGCAAGTATGAGGGACACCCCAACAGCATGGCACTGTCAGGCCATTCTAGACTGTTCCTGCCTTTCCCTTTCTGTCAAACTTCCAGTCAGTGTGCTTATTCTCAGAGCTTTTGTGTCCAGGTTCTTTCTTTTTGTTTTTTTGTTTTGTTTTGTTTTAATATTTATTTATTATGTATACAATATTCTTTCTGCATGTATGCCTATAGGCCAGAAGAGGGCACCAGACCTCATTACAGATGGTTGTGAGTCACCACCATGTGGTTGCTGGGAATTGAACTCAGGATCTTTGGAAGAGCAGGCAATGCTCTTAACTGCTGAACCATCTCTCCAGTTCCCTTCTTTTTGTTTTTTGAGACAGGGTTTCTCTGTGTAACCTAAGAACTAGCCTTGAACTCACAGAGATCCGCCTGCTTCTGCCTCCCGAGTGCTGGGATTAAAGGCGTGCGCCACCACCACTTGGCTTTAAATTTCTTTTCTTTTGCCACCTGGCTTTAAAATTGTTTTGTTGTTGTTGTTGTTGGTGGTGGTGGTGGTGGTGGTCTCAAACTCACTATGTAGCCCAGGATGACCTAATTCCTAATTTCACTGTTTCTACTTCCCAAGTGATGAGATTTCGCACTATTTGGTTGAGACAGGTCTCAATTACAGCCTGGCTGGCCTCAGACTTGTGGCAATCCTCCTGCCTCAGTCCCCTGAATGCTGGGATTACAGTATGACTCATCACACCAGGTTCTACTCACCCCTTCCACCAATGGTGAGGCTGGAAACCCAGGCTTGCCTATGCTATGCACATTAATCTTTTTTTTAAGCAGACTGGATGTGAGATTTATTACTGAACATGATTTGGTAGGGTACAGGAGAGCACCGTGAAAGTCCTCAGGAGTGTAGGGCTCGCCACTTGTCCAGGGGACCACGATTAGGAATATATTTGACCCCACAGCCATTAGGAATGAGTCGCTTCTCAGCAACCATGTCTTCAAATTCATCTGCATTAAACTTAGTAAAGCCCCATTTCTTAGAGATGTGGATCTTCTGGCAGTCAGGGAACTTGAACTTGGCTCTACGAAGAGCCTCCATCACATGTTCCCTATTCTGCAGCTTAGTGCGGAAGGACACGAGGACCTGGCCAATATGAACCCTGGCCACTGTGCCCCGGGGCTTCCCAAAGGCACCACGCATACCTGTCTGGAGCCTACACTGGAGACAGCATTGAGATCAGAAAATTGTCTCCAAGGTCCCTTAGGGCAAGTCGTATAGGTAACAGGCTGCGTACACTACCAAGCCTGCTGTTTGCAACCACCGCACACCAGGCCCCCATGGGGAAAGGGACCTGGTCGACTTAATTAGTTGCACATGTACGTTAATCTTTATAAACACACAAAAGTATATGCCTTTCTGCATATTTCCCTGCTTCCACAGAAATCCTTCAGAACATGGCCTGGGGCCAACAAGATAGCTCAGCAGGTATGAGTGCTTGCTACCAAGACTGACACCCTGAGTTCCATATGGTGAAAGGGAATAACTGATCTCCAGAAATTGTCCTCTGACCTTTGTGCACGTGCGTGCACATGTGTGCATGTGCACAGACACACATAACACACACGCAAGCACAAATAAATGTAAGAAGAAATTTAAAAGACATAATCTGGCTGATCTTTCTGACATTTTAGATCTGTAAGTCAAGCTGTATGCTAGATCCAAAATTCTAGTCAGTCTCTGCTCCCAAAGCATTCCTATGGCTTTTCTCTCTCTCTCTTTGGAGCGCCCTCTGCTCAGCTTGGCTCTCTTCCCCTCCCTTGTTTCTTTTACATTACTAGTGCCAAATCTTGTAGTAGCTGCCTCTACACTGTGTGTGTGTGTGTTTAAAGCATTGTGAAAACACCTTCTGCTTGATGACATTTTAAAAAAAAATGCAGATGTGCCCAAAGCCAAAGAAAAAAAAAATAGCACGTACACATCTTCCCCTCCCCCAGCCCAGCTCCCCAGATCTCAGCTCTGTAAATCTGACAAGCCAGGTCTTGCTTCCAGCTCCCCACCGTTCCCACGCCACCATCTGAATCACAGCAACGGTTTTCCCTCTGCTCTTCTTTCCTTTCCCTTTCACTCCGCATCGGCAATGCCCGAGAGCCTTCTGCACACCAAGTCCTACCCGGACCCCTAGAGGTGTGAGAACAGGAGAAATGAAGAGATTCCCCTTCCAAAGCTGCTTGACTTTGGGCAAGACCTCCCTTATTTCCCTGTGTGTAAAGTACTGGTAGTCACAGTCCCTGCCTTACGGGGTTGGGCGGTGATTAATAGGACGATCCACATAGCTCTGAGTGGTACCTGGAACACGATCTGCTCCACAAACATCAGCGGGGATAGCGCCAGTGTGAGTCTTTCCCTTGGATGAGTGAAGAAGCTGAGTGTGGCGGCTTATGACCCGGAGGCAGGGGGATTGCCATCTATTTGAGGGTCACCTGGACTTGAAAGAAAGAAAGAAAGAAAGAAAGAAAGAAAGAAAGAAAGAAAGAAGGAAAGGAAGAAAGAAGGAAAGGAAGAAAGAAGGAAAGGAAGAAAGAAAGAGAGAAAGAGAGAAAGAAAGAGAGAAAGAGAAAAAAAGAAGGGGGGCTGGGGGACTGGAGAGATGGCTCAGCAGTTAAGAGCACTGGCTGCTTTTCCAGAGGACCTGGATTTCCAGGAGCCACATGGATAACCACCTGTAACTCCAGGTCCAGGGACTCCGCAGGTACCAAGCATGGACGGTGGGGAGACATACATGCAGGTAAAACACTCACACGCATAAAATAAAAATTGTAAACAAGAAAATCTAGGACAGGAGAGATAGGCAAACTTTTTTTTTTTTTTTAAGGCAAAGGAGTCGGGTGGTGGTGCATGTGTTTAACCTCCGCACTCAGGAGGCAGAGGCAGGTGGATCTCTGTGAGTTTGAGGCCAGCCTGGTCTACAGAGTGAGTTCCAGGACAGCTAAGGCAAAGGAACAACGTAAGGAGAATTAATTAAAAGACTGATGATGGGGCTGGTGAAATGACTCGGTGGGTAAAGGTGCTTGTCACCAAGCGTGATGACTCACGTTGTATCCCTGACACCACCATGGTGGAAGGAGAGAACTAACTCCTACAAGTTGTCTTCTATGACATGTCCACAAGTGCTCTGTGACATGGGCAAAGCCACACACACACACACACACACACACGTGCAGGCATGCACACACACGCACGCACGCACACGCACACACAATAAAAATGTAATGAAAAGAGAGGGTGACCCTTCCTCTGAAGGCCACACACCACAATGACAAATAGGAAGACAGAGCATTCTTCCAAAGACTGGCCTTTCTCCTTGAACCCCATAAAACTGAGTTATACCAGGCGGGGAAGGAGTCGATCCAAGTTCCCGGGTCCTGAACCGATGCCCAAAACTTCTTGCCTCCCAACCTTTTCACTTTTCTGAGGTGCTGGGAATTGAATTCAGGGCTCAAGCGCAGTGACCTCACCCCCACTCTGTATCAGCTGGTTAACTAAATGCCCAGGATGTTTGTAGGCTCAGCCGTCTATAACCCTCAGACTTGGATCGCCTGTCTGCGTGGGGAATGCATGTCCCTTATGCAGCAGCCCTCGTGTGAACATCATTTTCCCTCCTTCAGAAAGCAGTGCTATTCTCATAGGGTGTGAACATTTTTACGGCTCTGGTTGCTCCTGCCAAATCGTCTAAGCAAATCTGCCACTTTATAATGTTATCAGCAGTAATAAATGGTTACTGCCTTCACCACGCCCTCCTTGAGAAACAGTCTTGCTCACTTACTGGAGAGGACTCTTCTGTGCTGCTTTAATTCCTGTTTCCTTGGATTCTTTGGATACTTGTGAGGCTGAACATCTTTTTTTAACTTTTTATTTTTATTTTATTTTTTCAAATATATATTTATTATGTATACAATATTCTGTCTGCGTGTGTGCCTGAAGACCAGAAGAGGGCAACAGACCTTATTACAGATGGTTGTGAGCCACCATGTTGTTGCTAGGAATTGAACTCATGACCTTTGGAAGAGCAGGCAATGCTCTTAACTACTGAGCCATCTCTCCAGCCCAAGGCTGAACATTCTTTCATGGTAGCTATTTTCTTGTATTTGTCCTATCCTTAGTCACATACAGGACAGGGAATCAGAAAGGTGACCATTTGAATTTGAAGGAGTCACTGGCTTTTATTTTCTCCTCTCCCTCCCTCCTGGATGTATCCATTTTTAAAGCATCCAGAGTTATATATTGTATATTTACAAAAACATTGATACTACAACTGAGTAAACAAACAAGATTAAAATCACCTGTACCCGACCAGGGCCAGTGCTGTACACATTTAATCCCAGAGGTGTGTCAGCCGAAGGCCAGCCTGGTCTACACAGTGAGTTCTAGGCCAGATGGGACTGCAGAGTGAGACCCTGTTTCAAAACCCAAACCAACCAAACAAAAACAACAGGCAGAGGTAGATGGATGCCTGTGAGTTCCAGGACAGCAAGGCTGTGTAGTAAGAACTTGTCTCAGCAAAACCAACCACAGCAAAAATGGCTCTACTGAGCCAGGCAGCGGTTGTACACGCCTTTAATCCCAGTACTTGGGAGGCAGAGGCAGGCGGATCTCTGTGAGTTCAAAGCCAGCCTGGTTTACAAGAGCTAGTTCCAGGACAGGCTCTAAAGCCACAGAAGAACCCTGCCTGTCTCGAAAAACCAACCAAACAAAAACAAAAAAAACCAAAAAGAAAAACTCAAAAAACAAAAACCCGGCTCTACTGCCTCAAAACTAATTAAATGAGCTAGAATATGAAAAGTGGGGTTTTTGAACTTCCAAGTCCATCCTTTTTTTTTTTTTAAGGAGCTTCATTTATGTATTATGTATACAGTGTTCTGCCTCCATGCCAGAAGATGGCACCACATCTTATTATAGATGGTTTTGAGCCACTGTGTGGTTGCTGAAAACTGAACTCAGGACATCTCGAAAAGTAGCCAGTGCTCTTAACCCCTGAGCCATCTCTCCAGCCCCTGAAAAAGTATTTGTAATTAAAAAAAATATGTATTTATTTATTGGTACTGCTGAAAAAGAAATCCAAATTGTTGGAAAACTGTGGCCCTGGATATTGCACCAAGAGACACATGTAGTGGAAGTAACTTGACAAGGGAATTTGCTCTTGGAGGGGGTGGGGCTGGAGAGCTGGCTGAGTGATTAACATCACCAGCTGCTGTTCCAGAGGATCCAGGTTTCCCAGCACTCACGTGGCAACTCATAACTAACTCCAGTCCCAGGAGACCCAACTCCCTCCTCTGGGTTCCTCAGGCACCAGGCATGCATGTGGTATGCAGACAAACACTTTCTTTCTTTCTATCTATCTTTCTTCCTTTCTTTCTTTTTTCTCTTCCTTCCTTCCTTCTTTCTTTCTTTCCTTCTTTCTTTCTTTCTTTCTTTCTTCGAGACAGGGTTTCTCTGTTGGTTTGGAGCCTGTTCTGGAACTTACTCTAAAGGCCAGGCTGGCCTCAAACTCACAGAGATCTGCCTGCCTCTGCCTGCCAAGTACTGGGTGGTGGTACAGGTGCCACCACCGCCCGACCAGACAAACCCTTATGCATATGAAATAATGAAAATAATTTTCTATTAAGGGGCCAGACATGGTGGTACACATTTACTCCTAGCACTTGGGCGGCAGAGTCAGGTGGCTCTCTATGAGTCTGAGGCTAGCCAGGTTTCCATAGTTAAGATTTAATCCAGTCAAAACTATATATTTAATTATAGCAGTGGTTTGCAACCTTCCTAATGTTGTGACCCTTTAATACTGTTCCTCTTGTTTCTGTGACCCCCCCAACCATGCAATTATTTTCGTTGCTACTTCATAACTGTAATTTTGCTGCTGTTATGAATTACAAATATATGATATGTGACCCCAAAGCAGTTCCCACCCATAGGCTGAGCACCGCTGCTATATAGTGAAACCTTGTCTTAAAAAACTTTTTAAAAAGTATACAAAAATCCAAACTGGGTTAACAAACACATTGGTTGGGTGGTTCACTTAGCTTTAATCCTAACTCAGGGTGGAGACTGTCTTGCCCCATTGATGTGTGCTCTACTTCACAATCAGATGCAACTGACTAATTCATAATGGGCCCAAAGAGGGAGAGTGTGCTGGAATAAAGTGTGCCAGGCTTTTCCTTTCAGACCACCAACCAGTTCTCAAATCAGGACACAGACTTATTACTAGTTTGAATGCTCGGTCTAGCTTAGACACATTTCTGGCTAGCCCTTTTAACGTCAATTAACCTGTTTCTCTTTATCTACTTGTTGCCTTGGGGCTCATTACCTTTCTGACTTCTATC